CTGTCTCCTGTCCCTCTAAGGATGGGAGACCAGCCCCCCTGTGTTTAAAGAGCATCTAAGCCCCCGCAGAGGGCCGAGCGAGGTATGTGCAACAGACAGTGGAGCAGGGCAGGGCAATGAGCCGTATTGTCTCCCTTTACAAATCAGTGTCAGACAACAGGCCTCGGCCTTCTGCCTGCTGCTGGCTGAGCACACTCTTCACACATTCATGGGACAGACACACTCTCCAACACTCACATGCACGCTCCCCAGGGACCCCTCTGAGGGCCACAATGGGGTCACCCTCACCAGCAGAGATACAGATTGTATTTGACACGGTCATTACAGGTGGCTTTTCACACATTTAGGAGCTGAATGGCAGCTCGTGTTTCAAATGGGAGTTAAATGGACGGATGAGTTGACATCATGCGGCAACTTGATTTCAGCTGAGCATCAATTATTCATGGTGTTTAACAAAGCAGTGATATGGTGGTTTAACTACGTCGGAACAAAACCGGCTACTTTCCTGTGTGTTTGGTCAAATTAAGGAGCAATTCTCAAACATAATTTCCAAATAAACCAACATAAAGTGACAATATACTTTTATTTTAAAGGGTATGTCAAAAAAGTGTATTCTGTTTTTTAATTTGAAACTTCTTGAGGTTTAATTTAAACACATGAAAGCCTGATTAAACATTTAAAAGCATTTTCTTAACTTCAAGTCAAATTTCTTTTGTTAAAATAAGGAAAATGAAAATGAAATTTGATTTGGGTCCATTCTTTTGTATTTCTGGCTGTATGTTTAGCGTTGTTGTCCTGCTGATGTTTCACAGTGTGTCCAAAGTGTCAACTCAATTTTTTTTTCATGTAATTTTATTCTCTGTAGAGCAAAGAACTTCCTTAATGTTTTCTGTATGATTGGGATGTTGTTTAAGGATCCTTCTCCACAACTTTCTCTCTGATCTGTCTGCTGTATCGGTCTTCATGCTGCTATCTGCGCTCTAATGATCTCTTAGTACATATGAAGCCATGAAATCTGTATTTATATTGTGATTAAATTACAGACTAGGTGGTCTACAAAGGGGATTTATATTTCTTTCTATAATAACTTCCTTATTATTGTTAAAGAAAAACATTAATGTGAATGAATACAAATGAATGCAGCGCTTTGAAATTTTTATTTCTTTTTACTATAGAAAAGCATGTTTGTTTTTTGTGTTCTCAAATATGTGCTATGCTTCATTCTTTTGTTGTT